GAATGAAGCCAGGGGACACATGTACTGCAGAATGGGCAGTATGAAATGTCAGGAGTGTTAATAAATGAATGTGGATTATGTGGCAGACAAGAACTGGGTGGGTGCCTTATTTTTAATTGGCTAGATCCCTGGCAGGGATGGCCTTTATGTGCTGTGTTCATACAGTGCCTAGCACAGTGAAGTCCTGGGCTCTAGGCACTATAGCTAAACAAATGACAATATCGTGTCATAACTCACTCTCTAATTTAATTCCTGCTCTCATTGATCCCAGCAGTCATATATTTTATGATCAATAATATTTTGCAGTACAGAAGTTCCCCAAGCTTGGTTGGGGTCCTATTCTATAGGCACAGAGTAAGAAAGAGGTTGGTTGCAAGCTCTTTGGGTCAGAGACTTAACAGAGAAAGGGTGAGAAAGGAAGCCAGGATGACATAACCTTCCCCAAGCAGGCCAGAGGCAGGACTTTCACCCCAGGCTTGTGTCCTAGGCCACAGGGCCATGCTGCCTCAGGCCACGCTGGCAGGTCTGATTTTTCCTAGCAACGTCCCCACGTTGTTGTGGCTGATTGGCGGAATACGCTGTGTTGTGAATCAAGCTTTGCGTGGCTGAGTGTGCTGTGGGTACAGGAGCTCAGCTGAGCTTGTCACATTTGAATTTTTGGATTGAAGGAGCTTTCTTCTTACAGAGACTAACTAGAAGGCACCACATCTTCTCTGCATTGCTGCTGTCACTCGGGGCTTTATTTCTATTATAATAGCAATACAAGGTAGTGTTTGGGGAGAAACAGTGGAGCCAAATAACAGGGGCTCTCACATGGGCCTGGAATCCAATTCGGAGCTGGGTACTGTTGCTCTAATGGCAAGGAGACTTTAAAACAAGGCTCTCATCTCTCCCCCAGGCACATGCCCCTGGATGAGACAGCTCCCCACAGCAGACTCAGTGCATAGGTAGCACTATGATTTCTTCCAAGTTGTCTCCTTTGGGTGAAGCTACGTTGGCAAAGCAGGTTGGGGGTTCATGCCACTCCCGTGGTTCTCCTGGATGGCCCAGCTCCACCAGCAATGCACAGCAGCTCACCAGCACACCAGGCTGCCAGTCCCAGCTTCTCAGCTGAGGCCTCCCAGCTGCATGCTGCTTGCCCTGGTATCGCAACTATCCACAGCAGGCACATCAAGAGCTCGCCTCTCACTCACTCCCTGGCCTGCCTCTGCTGAGTCCCAAGGATCCACCTAGCCAGGGTTTTCTTTACAGCATTTTCTGAGACTGAATGCAAGAGGCTTGATCCTTCCGCGGAGTCAATGCTCAGCGCTTTCTGTGGTTTGTTTGGCAGCATGATGCCTCGGCAGTCAGCTCTCAGCACTACATGACCCCACACTGAACTTCTGACTCATCACTATTCTGCACAGTGACAACAGTGGCCCTGCAGCTAGGTGCCAGCGTGGGACCTGGGAGACCTGGGCTCACTTCCCTGCTGTGCCACAGACTTCCTGTGTAAACTTGGGCAAATACTTAGTCTTTCTGTGCCTCAGTTTCCCATCTGTACAATGGGGATAACAGCACAGGGGTGCTGTGAGAGTAGATACATTAGAGACATGAGGTTCTCAGATACGATGGTGATGGGGAACACTCACAACCTGTGCCGCCGAGAGTGGTCCGGCAGGGGTGTGGCAGGCTGCCTTCTGCCCAGGCGTTCCCCTGTCTTACTGCCATTCTGCCCTGCAATGGTCTGGCCTTCCAGTGACTCAGCCCTCTGGCCAGGTCACATGTTCAAGCCTACCTCTTTCGGGGTATGTCTAAAGAGGCCAGTAATGGGCAAGTCCTCAGGATTAAGCGAGAGAGTCAGGGCTTCCCCTGGGGTCTGGGTCTCGTGCTCCAGAGCATTGTATCTTCCCCAACAAGGGATAGACTTCTGTGGTTGTCCCTCTTTAGGGGTGGGTAAGAGAGCCCAGGGCCTCCCCTCCACTGGGCTCCAATCCAGGGCCCAACAGAAGACAGCTAAACCCTGGGGTGCTAGGCGGTTGCCGCCCTGCATCACTCCCTACCAGTCCCCTCTCTTCCCACAGGGTTAAGTAAAGAACTAAACACCCAAATAAAGTCTCTGACCTTCAGCGAGTCCCAGGTCTCGTCTCTGGAGGCTGGGTCAGGTCTCAGGCAGCAAGAGCTCTCAGGGTACCCTTCCCAGGAGCTTAGCTCGCAGGTCAGATCACTTCCACATGGGCCTTCCACTGAGCTACTCTGCTCCCCTTTTTAAACACCTCCTCCAGCCAGCACATGCATTGCAGGTGGGGCGGGCGGGGGGGGGGGAGGGGACAGACAGCCGGGTCCAGAGTAGCTTTTTACCCAGTCCTTTCTAGTGTGGGGTTTGTACACCTCATCACAGGCCACAGAGGCACCTAAGATCGACATAGTTCTGCACCTCGACTGCGTTTTGTTCTCTCTCTTTTACCACCTCCATCCCACTCTCAGCACCGCCATTAAATCTATTAGGAGCATGGGCAGTGCAACTCCCAAGCCTGTTCAATGGATACTGACTGAGCTGGGGAGCGGATACTCCCTTTGGTCCCTTATGTGGTAAGGAACAGGCCGTTCCAAAATGCCACCAATTCCAAAGCCAGATAGCCTTTATTGCAGCACATTACGCAGCCAGCGCACCATTGGGCAGCTACCATTCTTGTGGCATGTTCGAGACCAACGACAATAATTAGGTTCTGGATAAGGATGACTAAGTCAAAATTATTTTCTAAGGTACCGAGTTATCCATGGGCCTCATTACCGTAGTATCTGAGCATCTCACAATTCTTTTTGCATGTATTGATTTTCTCTACACCCCTGGGAAGTAGGGAGCACTCTTATCCTCACTTTATGAAGGGGAAACTGAGGCAGCCAACTCCCATTGACTTTCAGTGGGAAACTGGACACCTCTCTGCCTCCTAAGTGACTTGTTCAAGGTCGCTGAGGAGGTCCCTGGCACAGTAGGGAATTGAACTCAATTCTTGAGTGTCTCCAGCAAGTACCCAACCCTTGGACCATCCTTCCTCTCTGGGCTTTCTTTTTCTATCTTCCATTTTATCAAGTAAGAGAGCTTTCAGTGCAAAGTGTTAGAATTGTCATGGTATTACAGCACAAGGTGAAATAAAGAATTCCTTAAGGAAATTATTAATATCCTTTGTCAGATTTAACCACACAACTTCCAGGGACATAGGGAAGGCAATCAACATCAGACTTGCTAGATGGATGGGGAAGAGCTATATCTTGGGTCACAGCTGCTATCCTATCCACAAAACCAAAGCCTTGTGAAAAGGAAGATCAGCTGCAGATTGCAAAGGAAAATCCTCTCAGGTGCAGTGAGTAAAGTCCGTAGCTTGGTATCTTCAACTTAGGCGCAAAAAGTGAATGAAAGCGCCGAGATACGCCTTTCATGTTCTAAGCTTTAATTGACAAAATCCACAAGGGAGTAAACAGAACATTTCACTGTCAGTAGCCTTATTGGCAGCCCGTCAGCTCAGCAGTCTGAAGTGCAGACCTAATTTCAGGAGGAGGAAGCTATCACAATGTCTTCCTTCAAATGTGTCACTGCTCTGCCATTTTGTGGAGGAAGGAAGCTATGCTATGCAGACCTGAAGAAGGGACATGTGATGTGCAAACACTAGCAATACCAAATGACTTCTAAGTACTGAGCAGACAGAAGTGAGATCTGCTCCTCACAAATGAAACATGCCTTTTTGTTTAATCAACCGATTATGCAATGTCTCCAAATGGAGTCTACTTCAAATAAATGAAGTTGTTCCTCTCAGAGCAGCCTTGCAGTCCATGAAGATGCGAAGACCAACGCACCAGGAAGACTGCTAACAAGGAAGGAGATCATTATTTACTCCGAATGCTTGCCTGGGAAAGTTTCTGACACTCACTTTGTCTTTGTGCTTGACTGCTCTTGGAAGGGGCATTGGAAAGCGACAGAAGATAACGCACTGTGTTATGCTTTATCACCCTCTTATTTCCATGGTCAGCTGATTGTGGAGCTATTCTTTTAGCTTGTCATGTCTGGAATTGCAGGAACGTGCCCTATAGCAATTGTCGTGATGCACACAGGAGACTCCAGCACAGTGCATGAGAACATGGGGAGGAAGAGCGGCTATAGCAGTCCACAGCAGGATCAAACCAGGGCCGCCCGGGGGGGGGGGGGGGCAAGTGGGGCAATTTGCCCAAGGCCCCGCAGGGGCCCTGGCCGAGAATCACTTTCCTGGGTAGAGGCGCCTTTTTAATTTTTACTTACCTGGCGGTGGTCCGGGTCTTTGGCGGTCGGCAGCACTGAAGGACCCAAGATGCGGAGCGACTGAAGGACCTGCCGCCGCAGACTCGGAGCACCACCCGGTGAGTATGTCCGCTCCCCCGCTTTGCCCCAGGCCCCCTGAATCCTCTGGGCGGCCCTGGATCAAACTGCCCCACCCTGTCAGCCACAGCTGATCAGAAACAGACCCATAAACCATGATCCCAAGCCCATTCATAGGGCTAGACTGTGACTTGGTCTGCGTGCCCAGGCAAGAGAGTAAAGGGGTGTAAGTATCCCCCACCCCTTACACCTCTGTGTGTGCGCTACCCAGACCCAGGTCTGCACATGGAGCAGTAAGAGGCCACTGTGCACCCACCAGAGCAGGTTTGGGTGCAGGGGACGGGACTGAATGGAGCCTTGACTCTAGCGCCCACTTGTGGCCTGAACAGTGGAGTCAGTGTTGGATTGGAGGGGGCCAATAATTTACTGCAGTTATAGGCTAACAGCAAATTACCACCTCTATCCCTGCTGTGGCGCAACAGGGGGCAGGCAAGAATTGTGGCTCAGAGGGGTGTCTGTGTCACAAGCCTCCTGACATACGTACGCAGACACTCTGAATAACTTTTGTTATCTGTTTTGCTTCAGCAGTAATCTGCTGCCACGGATGCAGTACAACTGAGACAAGAAAGTGGCTTATCATAATTCATTCCATGTAGAAACAGGAACTTACCAGCGCTGACTGTGATAGCTTCAATAAACTGTTCTCTCCAGCTGTTAGTTCCAACCACAAGGGCTAGGTTTGTCTTCTTAATGAGCTTGTCCACAGTATTCTGCAGATGGAGACAAGTATAAATGAATTAAGTGCAATGCTGGTTCAGAACCTGAGATCATGGGCAGAAATCAAAAGCCTTCTGGATTTACATTGTACAGTTATGGAAAAGATCTTCCGCTCAGAACAAGAGCACCAGCAGCAAAAGTGACAATACGTATGCACACAAAATCCCATATTCCATTAAAAAGTCTGTTTGAAATATAAATACAAGAGAAGTTTCCTAAACTGCACACCTTCTAACCGGAACTAAAAATAAGTGGTCTCTCCACACTCTTCAGCAGAATTTTAATGGCAGATGCTGTAAAGAGGACTCCTACCTTGCTAATGCTTCTTTTGTTACAAAACAGATCAAGGAATTTCGATCTGTATATTTGGAAGCACTGTAAATAATTCAAAGTGAAAGAAGTATATTTTTGGTTATCCACTCCTGCTTTTTTACGGCATTTGTACACTTGTTAAATCAGAAACCGATCACTAATGCAGAATCATCACTAGTGCTGTAAACGGCTGGCAGAAAATTCTCATTGGAAGTTAATCCAAGCACTCTTCACTGTGTTCTAATATAATAGGGTGTGGCAAGGCACCTCTTCCGCCACATCAGCATTTCTCCCTTGGGGGGTGGGGAAGGAGCAATGAGAGGGGCTGGAGGAAATCACTCCCACTCCAGAGGGTTTACACTCTGGACTTTGGTTTATTTACAGGATTTACCAGTGGGTCTCAGGCTAGGCCTGAATAGTTTCCTTAAGCAAAACCACAGAAGAAATACATCTCCTTGCCCCTAGCAGAGTATCGACTTACTGCGCTGACATCTGGTCACTAGCCCTTCCCTAAACAGATGCAAACTGACTGCTTTCCCTGTAGGGAGGTAACCAGCTCTTCACCTAGGCCACGCTTTTTCTCCCTGCTGAAACTTCTTTCTTTCTTCTCTCTCCCCACTGTCTGTCTGTCTCTCTCTCCTCCCACTCTTACACCAGAAGAGGGCTTTTAAAGGTGTGTGTGTGGAGGGTGCTTAATTGACTCAGGTGTCTCTAATTAACCTGCGGTAATCTCTTTTCAGTTCATAGGGAAAAGGGCCTGCATCATTCTAGGACTAATATTTCTGCCTTCCGCCACACGCTTCTAGCTGTCAGATCTGACTGTCACAAGCAGTCACAATGGGCAGCCGAGAGTGCTTGAATGCACGTAGGAGAGACTCTACCGCTTACATGAAACAGTGTGGCTGGTTTATTTTTTATTGACTTTAAAAAAGGAGACTAAATTGTCAGACTGAGGCCACGATCCTGCACAGGTTTAATTTTACACACTCAGATAAATGAGACCACTCACATGTCCAAAGCTAAGCATGTGCGTAGTGTATACAGCATCAGGATTCATGTGCATGAATGTATGTGGGACTGAGGCCATAGTCTCTTTTCTTAAACCGTATTTTATTTTAGTTTGGGCATTTTAAGCCTAGCTAAGGATTTGGCTTGCCATATTGTTCTGTAATAAGTATCTATAGTCTATAACCAATAGAAAAATGATGGAGTTGCATTCCTTATTTCCTTTGCTGTTGCTCCCAGAACACTGGGAGAATCAAGGCTACTTTGTCACTTGTGATAAACTGATTGTTGCTGTTGTGCTGTAATTTTTTCATGCAAGTTTTCATTAGCACATGTACTCTGGAAATCTCTCCTGCAGTGTATCTCCATCTATTTTACTGCTACTGGGTTTCCTGATTTTCAACTTTTGAGATGCTTCTCAAACACTTAGTCTGACACAATTAACACTCTTGGGTTTTCTAAACAGTTAAGTTACAGGCAACTGTAGCAACAACTGGACAAATCAACAGTCGACTAACTTAGCGGAGGCACAGAAAGTTCTATCATGTATCATAACAAGTACAGCACTTGTGGTCATTTCTTTTGGTAAACATGAATGATGCTGATTTGGAAGCTGCCTGTACAAGTCTGTGAAAGAGACACCAGGAAGTTATTTAAACCCCAAAATCAACTTGTGTGAAAATATTTTCAAGGAAGGTCAATGACAATAAATTCTTATGGTGCTGGCAACCAAAATGCAACAGGCTTGTGCTAGTGCATCACGGGCTCTAGCCTGCACGGTGCTGAGCTCTCAGCCCCTCCAATCCAGCTGAGCAATGCAGCACACAAGTACTCCCTTTGACTTCAATGGGGCTTCAGTGATTTATAGCACCCGAGGACCTGGTCCTGACAGTGACGCTGAGCAGGCTAGTTTCGCTGCCCAAGCCAAGTGAAATGCCAGAAATAAACCCACACCATTGCTATTGACAAGTCCACGGTCTTGCTGTTGTCGTGACATCACAGCTGGCTGCTGAGAGGGGACAGTATATAGCACCAGCTGTGCCTTATTCAGCCACTTGTGCTCCCTTTGGGAGTTGGGGGCAGAAACACTCGCTCCTCCAGAAGCTCCTGATAATGCCTCAAGTTGCTGTTATGGGGCCTCTCCCACGGAGGACATAAAAGGCCATTAGTGGATTTGATTTTTAAGCATAAAGGCTGTAAATTCAGCAGAACATGAACATACCCTGCCCCTGGTGAATTTTTCTGTATAGCACTGTCTCTGATTACACCTCTACCATATGAAATCTGGGCTCCCAACTCCTTCTGTTCCAATCATCCCCATCCCAACACAACCTCTTTATGGTGCCAATTAACTAGTCTGCCTCTGTTCAGCAAAGCACTTACGCATTAGCTTGAATCCCATTGAAGTCACTGGAACTTAAGCATGTGCTGGAGTTCTTTGCTGAACAGGGATGGATTTAAACATGTGTGTCAATGCTTTGGCTGAATCGGGGCCTCAAGCGTTCAATATACTTGCTTCACAAGGACGATACCCTCCTGTGCATAGCATGTGCTTGCCAGATATGTGCTTACTGGGCATGTAAAAAAGATGGAGGCCCTAGTTTAGCAATCTAATAAAATGCAGTGAGATGCTAATGTGAATTCAGGGCTTGCATGACCTGTGGGGAGTGAAGCAGACAATTGCTGTACCTTGAACTCATAGGATTCTTCAATAATGACTTCTAGTTTGGTATGTTCTCCCAGTACTGGGCGTCCCATTTCTGCAATGCGGCGCTCTTCCTCCTCTTTGCTCGTCAGTGGCTGTTTCTCTTCATTCTCTTCTGTAACAAAACAGCCAATTTTTGAGCAACACACAATCTTTCACTTTCTGGCACTGGCTTCTGTCCGGAGAATCTATCTCTAAACTAAAATATTCTCTGGAGCTAAGGCACAAGTGACAGACAATTGTTGGAGTAAGGTAGAGGACATTATGCCTGAGCTGAAAGGTTTTCTGTTGCAGATGGCCGGAAGCGCTAGCAAATGAGATCACTAGCTCATAACTCTTCTGAATTTCAAATCCCTTCCACCCCTACTCAGCTCCTCTTGAATTCAGCCTGGGCTATAGGAAAACATTCACAATCTCAATCCCACTCAGCTATGGATTCTCCTCTGGAGCTGCCATGGTGGAAACTTTTAGGGCAATCAATCGAAGGTGGGATTGTCAAAAAGGCCTCTGTATTGGCCTCCCCCCCCCCATGCCCCTTGACTTTGATGGGAGCTGGATCAGGCCAGTGCTGAGCGCTTTTGAAAATCAGATCTCTGCATGCAAACCAGGCCATCCAGCCCATATGGAAGGGCCTAGCGGCCTCAGCCAACCTGCCTGTATGTCAGTGACGGGGAACTAAATGCATAGTAAAGGTGCACTGAATGAGGCAGGGTCCTGTGGCAAAAAAATAGTATGTGCTCATGTATTTAAAGACTGTATCATAATGAACACAGACAGGGGTGGGGTATATGTGTGACTTAAGGTTGCACAAACCTTACTTCTGGCATTATCTAACTTTTGAGTGCTTGATTTTGCACCCTAAACATTCGAGTAATGGAGTATTGTGCAGGTAGTGTTACACACAAAATAATAGTCAGCCAGATTCTGATCACAGTTAGTTACATCACTGTAAATCCGGAGTAACTCTGATGTCACTAGAGTCACACCTGATAGACTCCAGAATCACAGAGCTTGGAATCTGACTCTTCTAACCTGTGGTATGCTAAAGGACATAGTACATTGAAAGATAGCTCTTCAGTCACTATACAATCATGACAAAAGGCTTGTAACAAGGACTGTGCAGCACCCACATAAGGAACAGGGGCTGTGTATGTCTCTGAGCCCATTATAACTGGTGCATAACCAAGGACTCTGAGCAGGGGTTCTAATATTTTGAGTGCTTTGCTGACATTTTTTGCAGCAAGTCATAAAATTGGTGAGACAGATTTTAATCAAGTCTGCAGCAAGTAGCTGCAGATATGTGTGCTTGTCTAAACAACTAGCAATAGGTAAATGAACCTTGGAAAGATTTATTTCGGTTAAGCATCCAAAAGTTCAGGTGCTTATCTGAACCTCAGCCAAACTGCTATACCGATAAACATACATTCCCACGAGGCCTGTGTTGCCCTCATATTATCCACATGACTCTTTCTAAGAATATAAGAATGGCCATTCTGTATCAGACTAGTGGTCCATCTAGCCCAGTATCCTGTTTTCTGACAGTGACCAGTGCCAGATGCTTCAGAGGGAATGAATAGAACAGGGCAATTTTGAGTCATCCATCCTCTGTCATCCAGTTCCAGCTTCTGGCAGTTGGAGGTTTAGGGTCACCCGGTGCATGGAGTTGTAGTCCCTGACCATCTTGACTAATAGCCATTGGTGGACCTATCTTCCAGGAACTTGGCTAATTCTTTTTTGAACCCAGTTATACTTTTGGCCTTCACAACATCTCTTGGTAACAAGTTCCACAAGTTGACTGTGTGTTGTGTGAAGAAGCACTTCCTTGTGTTTGTTTAAACCTGCTGCCTCTTAATTTCATGGGCAATTCCTGGTTCTTATGTTATGTGCAGGGGTAAATAACACTTCCCTGGGCTCCACACCAGTCATGATTTTATAGACCTCTGTCATATCCCCCCTTAGTCATCTCTTTTCTAAGATAAACAGTCATAGTTTTTTAAAAATCTCTCCACATATGGAAGCTGCCCCACACCCCTAATTTTTGTTGCCCTTCTCTGTACCTTTTCCTATTCTAATATCCCTTTTGTGAGATGAGGCAACCAGAACTGCATGCAGTATTCAAGGTGTTGGTGTACCATGGATTTATACAGTGGTGTTATGATATTTTCTGTATTATCTACCCCTCTCCTTACACAGTTTGCTTTTTTGGCTGCCTCTGCACATTGAGCAGATGTTTTAGAGAACTATCCACAATGACTCCAAGACCTCTTTGATGGGAAAAATAGAGAATAACTATTATTCAGCAAATGATGTTCATTATTTTGTTTAAATGGGATTTCCTGTTGCACTGGATCTAACCTGGCATTGTTTTTCACTAAAGTTAGGCTCTGGGATGTTGCATCATCAGGTCATAACACTGCATCATGATGCGATGGCATTTTCTTCTGACTTCACTGCACTGCCTATATGATGACGCAGTGCCAAGACATTACATCACAAACTCACATCATCACAAAACAACGTTTGCCCTATAAGACAAACAGCAAAATATGTCTGTTTTTTAAAAACTTGGAGCCATTGCAGGAAGGCGAGCTCTGTCTTTCGGGCTGTACCCTGGAAGTCAACAGGAATTTTGGACAGGTGGCTTTGTCTCAGTGTGACAGACTCATGCAGAGTGAGAGGCAGCACATATGCAGCAAGAATCTGCTAGCCAGCCCACATGGTAGCTTCAGGAACATGGCAATGCAATAAAACTCCAGGGATTCCTTGAGAATGCCAGCAGCATTTGACACCTCGTCAGAACTTCCGTATTAGATTATCGTTAACACACACAGCCCTGTAACTTAATTATCTGCATGTCCAAAGCAATGAATAGAAAAACTGTAAACACTGGAGCCGTGTCTGCACTAGAGAATTCTGCTGTTGCCTGCACCTGATACATTGCTTATGTCCACACTACAGCTGGTCAGATAACTGATTTTTTGGTTTGCTAGCTGTTCCAGAGAACTGAAAAAAAAATTTTGGTTTGGGTCAACCTAATGCCATAAATTCTGAACAATTTTGGCAAATCGAAAAAGTTGACAAAACATTTTTGTTTTGAGTGGGAAGAAATGTTTTGTTTGGTCTGAAACAAAATGTTTTGTTTCCTGGCATTTTAAAAATAAAATAAAAGGATAAGAAGGGTTAGATTAACAAAATGGCCAGCGGAGGTCCCGGCCTTATAACCTTTAGCTTTCCCTTGTGTGGAGAAGTAATTTGAACTTGGCTCTCCCACATTGCTGGACAGTTATGAATATTCTGGGACCACCAGGTTATGAATATTCTGGGACAGGTCTCACTGCAGCGTTAGGTCTCGTCTACACTTACAAACGTTACTGGCATAGCTATGTCAGTTAGGAGTATGAACCCCCCCCTTGCCCCTAACCACCATGGCTGTGCATGTGCCCTAGTGTAGACACAGTTATACAGGCAAAAAAGTCTGGTGGCCGGTATCATCTATTTTGTTTGGGGCATTGGTATAAGTTCGAGCAGCAGCAGAAACGTTTGTTTATATAAGTTGTATCGATACTAGCAGGGTATGTTGGTCTAGCTATGCTGACAAACGCTTTCTAGTGCAGACTTACACAGAACATAAGAATGGCCATAATGGGTCAGATCAAAGGTCCATCTAGCCCAGTATCCTGTCATCAAGTGATCCATCCCCTGTCGCCCATTCCCAGTTTCTGGCATAGAGAGGCTAGAGTAAACACAGACCAGATTAAACACAGAGATAGGTACAGTACAGCACCTCTCCCAAAATGGTTTGCACTTCCCACTTCTCCCCATCAGGGAGTTGTGCTGGGCCCGGCCACCCATGATATGCTGGCACTGCCTTGCTTGGAGGGAGCGCGGTGTGTGGACATGCTGAACAGATACACGCTTGCTGAGATGTCTAGTGTGGTCTCAGTGCATTGTTACAAGTCACAGCAGTCCCATGAACAATAGCAATTTGTAACAATGCAGTTCTCTACTGCAGATGAGGCTATAGCAGCCTCCCCCCACTTGTGAATTTCATGTAAGTCCATTCTTGAGGCCCTCTGAAGAGGTAGCTGGGTTTTCTTCTAATTTCAGCTTCCCCAGTCTAACTCGCCTTAATGCGTGGGGGTAACACACCTTAACTACTGCTTGGCAACAAACCAAGCACCTGGAACGCTTGATGTGTTCACACTGTCTAGTGGCTAGAGCCGTCCCCTGAGCAGCCTGCACGGAGGGCTGCAGGGCATCTTGCACTCCGTGAAGGGACGAGTGAATGTGCCAGAACCAAACTGGAAGAACAAGTCACCGTGGATACTGGAAACTTCTGCTTAACGCACAGCAGTGCTCAAAAATGCTAACAATGCTAGGAACTATTAGTAACGGGATAGAAAATAAGACAGAACATATCATAGTGCCACTCTATAAACCCAGGTGCGCCCAACCCTTGAATACTGTGTGCAGTTCTGGTTGACTCATCTCAAAAAGGATATAATGGAACTGGAAAAAGGTTCAGAGAAGGGCAACAAAGATGACCAAGGGTATGGAACGGCTTTCATACAAAGAAAGATTAAAAAGTTTAGAGCTGTCCAGTTTAGATAAGAGACTAAGGAGGGGATATGACAGAGGTCTATAAAATCATGAGTGGTGTGGAAAAAAATTAATAGAGAAGTCTATTTACCCTTCCTCACAATACAAAATCCAGGGGTCACTCAGTCAAATTAATAGGCAGCAGGTTTAATACAAACAAAAGGAAGTACTTTTTTACACAATGCACAATTAACCGGTGGAACTCATTGCCAAAGGATGTTGTGAAGGCCAAAAGTATAGCAGGGTTCAAAAAAGAACTAGTTAAATTAATGGAGGAGAGGTCTATCAATGGTGATTAGCCACAATGGTCAGGGATGCCACCCCATGCTCAGCGTGACCCTAAAACTCTGACTACCAGAAGCCAGGAGTGGAAGACAGAAGTGGATCCTTCCAACTGTCCTGTTCTGTACACTCCTCATGAAGCTCTGGTACTGGTTGCTGTCAGAAACAGGATACTGGGCTAGATGGACCATTGGTCTGACCCACTGTGGCAGTTCTTATGTTCTTAACAAGTCCTCTCTGCATGTATTCATAGAATCATAGAAATGAAGGGCTGGAAAGGACCTCAAGAGGTCATCTAGACTATGCCCCCCACGCTGACGTAGGACCAAGTAAACCTAGACTGTCCTTGACAGGTGTTTGTCTAACCTGCTCTTAAAAACCTCCAATGGTTTTAATTGCCAGTAACATGTTACCACATGAAAATGCTACAAGCAAGACAAAAGCAGCAGAGTGTGGCTGGAATCCTGACCTTCAACATTGTTGGATGGGAAGGATTTAGTTTTAAACCCTACAAGTGTTAGGTTTAATAGTTTGGCAAAAAAACCTGGATCTGGAACATTTCAGAGACGACTCTTTGGCTGGTGTAAATCAGCAAAACTTCACTGACTTCAGTGGAGATTGTCTATGCAACTTCAGTGGTGCTACACCAACTTACACCAGCTGGCCCTGAGTGGAGTTTCACCTGATAAACACCAACCCTCAGCATTTTCAATTTGTTTTTAGAAGCAGGAGGCTCTTTGGAAGACAGGCGTCAGATGCCTTTTGTCTTTTAAATTCGCTACTAAGACACCCAAGCAGCGCTTTCAGAAACGATTCATCCTGCCCCTTAATTCTGAGATGCCACCTGTCTCCTTGTGGTCTTAGCTCCTCCCTGTCCCCAGGAGCTGCTCCATATGTCAGTTTACCTTGCAGCTAAGCGCTGGCACACACAGTTGCTTATGCGGCTGCTGTCAAGGCCAATCTATTAGCCCACTTCAAAATAAACCCTTATTTCCAACCTCCATGGTACTTCTTGCCTTTGTTATGATTCTTTGTGTGTATTGCACTAACACCCGCAGACCCCAGCTGAGATCAGGGCCCTGTTATGCTGGAAGCTGAACATATACATAGAAACGGCTTCTGTCTCCCAGTGCTTGCAATACAAATGGACAAATAGAAACAGAGGCACAGAGAGGAGAAGTGACTTGCTCAAGGTCACCCTGCAGCCTGCTCACTGCCAGCCTCATGCCCTACCCCCTGGAGCAGGCTGTCACTCAAATAACCAGCCTTTAGGAAAAATATTCACGGCTATGGGTAATGTGCAGGACTGCATATTTACTTCCATCTTTTTCTGTCCTCACAGAACAGATTCCTCCCCCCTCCCCCCTCAGCAAGAACCTCACCACTACAAAGTGGAATCTTCACTATTCTGAAATTGGGATTGAACGTCCCTTGAACGACCCATGCTTTTAATTGTTGTGGTTTAAATTCTTGCAGATTCAAAATGGATAATTATTAATTGAAAAGCTCTTGTCAGATTTTCATGACGCTCCAGAACACTGCTATGTGCAGGCGGGTTTGCAGTCTGGTGCATTTTAAGCTGCTTCAGTTTCCTGTCCCTTAGCCATCATTGTGGCTGACATCTCAAGGTTTACAATAATGGCACTCGCCTGGAACAAGCCAATCTAACACACAGGCTGCCTGAGGGCTTTACTTGTCAGTTTATAATGGTTTTAACTGGAACACCTGTTTGTACGGATGCCTCACCACTGTGCCAATCAAAGAGGCCCATTCTGTAATCCATTACAGATGAGGTATGGAGTGCATGGGGAGATAGGGGTTTGAGGAAAGGGTCTCTGCCCCACCCTCAGTGTAACAAATACAATTCAGACATCCCATGCATTTAATTTAGGCCTGTCCTGCCCAATGCAATTAGCTTAGACCTGGCTGAACCATGCAGTCAGTAGAGATGCAGGAACCTCTTCCCAATGCAATTACCTTAGGCCCAGCTGCTCCCCTAATGCAGTTACTGTAGGCAGGGCCGCCCCAAGCAAAAAAAAATGGCGTTCGGACTCTGCTGCCCCAAGAATGGACGGAATGCTGCCCCTTAGCATGGGCCGCCCCAGGCACGTGCTTCCTCCGCTGGTGCCTGGAGCCGGCCCTGACTATAGGTCCAGCCTTCCCTTTCTGCATGGCTCCAAGGCCCTCTCTGCTGCAGCCGCTCGGGACCCTGGCTCCTCTCACTGCCTCCCCTCCAAGGAGCAGGAGAGGCCACTGCGGAGGAGCCCAGCTGCCCAGAAGCCATGTTATTTCCCAGCTCGGGAGGGGGCATAGCAGGGAGAAGGCTGGGCCAGGCCCCTTTTCACTGGAGGAGATATTGGGCAGGAGTGAATCCTCCCAGCCTGTGTAGCAGCCCAGCCTGCTCTCTGTCTCCCCCCTCCCCACCCTAAAACTACCCTTGATCCTGGGGCTTTGCTCCCTCATAGTCTCTCTGCGCTGACTGGAGGAGAGGTGAGGGGTGCGGTGGGAGTGGGGAGCTCACAGCTGCTGGCAGAGGGTCTCCTCTCCCTTTCACCCTTGCCAGCTGGCTGCTGGTGCTCCCTGCCTCAGAAGGTGCAGGGAGGTGGAATCAGCTCCTAGGCATGACAGGTGCATAATGGAGGACTCATAAAATATCTGACTTCCCCAAGAGAAATCAACTCTCCTTAAATTCTCCACGCCACACTTCCTCCAAGGACAAGAATTTATCCCAGAGAGCTTGGGAGGCATCACACAGGGAGATTAAAAAACAACAACAGGGGGTTATAAAGTAGCCCTGCTGTTCACTTTTCAAAAACTTTCGCAGAACTTTGCAACAGTTTCATGTGAGAACTTAATTTCGCCAGGACCCAGTAGTGATTGGAACTGAATAGGGGGTACTGGAAGGAATTACAGCTATTAAATAATTAAAGCTATCATCAGAACAGGAAAATACAAGTATCTTTACACTGAAAAATACCAGGCATCATAAAGACATGAATATTACTGAAATGCATGTTCTGAAGTGTATGCACCACAGGTCAGATCTCAGCTGGTGTAGACCTGCCTTGCTCTAAGGTCTACAATGCTGACATTGTCTTTAATGGAGCTATGTTGAGTTACACAAGCTAAGGATGTGGGCCTTGAAGTGTATACACGCCGGCTGTGACTCTCCACTGCCTTGTACCTATGGCCAATCTGATCTATTAGCACTTTACATCTACTTCGCCCTAATGTAAATATTGACATAAGGTGCAAGGCAGCGAAGAAGCATTGGCCCATTATCTTTTTAAGTGTATATAAGACACACGAGTTTGACTGATACCCACCTCAGCTGGATATATGCATTAGATACACCCATCTGTATGATGCACCCTTTACAAGGCGTGCGTGTCTCCAGGGGAACTTTGCAAATGATGCCTGTCCTGACAGCTACTTTATAAAGAGGACTGCTTTAATGGGTGGAGAGATGCTGTTGGGAAATGACACGGAGTGCAAGAGGGTCTGTTCTGGAAGGTGAGCAAGTGACACGCGGACAAGGGATCCAATATGAGACAGGTGAGGAAGGACGCAGCACATGGATACAGGAGCTGTCTGGGGAGGAATCCATCAGAGTCTGGGCAAGGTCTGCGTGGATTCCTGTCGCTAAACTATTATTCAGCATTTTAAAAAGCTAAAGAAGTTCCCAGGCAAATAACATTGTTAGCCTGGAGTGAAAGGTGAAAGAATCTATCACTTGCTTCAGCCAAACATTGCTTGGAGAATTGGCAGAAGAACCAATGCCTGTAAGTTGAAGCCAGACAAATTCAAATTAGAAATAAGGCCCAAATTTTTAACAGCGAGGGTGACTAACCACTGGAACAAAGCACTAAGTGAAGAGATGGATTCACCATCTCTTGAAGTCTTCAAATCAAGTGTGGATGCCTTTCCAGAAGGCTTGCTTTAGTCAATCCTAAGTCATTGGGCTCAATACAGGAGTAACTGATGGAATTCTTTGACTTGTGGTATACAGGAGGTCAGACTAGATCAGGGGTGTACAAACTACGGCCCATGGGCCAGATCCGGCCCCTCAGGGCTTTGGATCCGGCCCGCAGGATTGCCCCCCGTGGTGCCGCAGGCCCCCCACCGCTCTCAGAAGCGGCTGGCACCACTTCCCTGTGGCCCCTGGGCGGGGGGGGGGAGGGCTCCGTGCATTGCCCTTGCCTCCAGGCACCACCCCCTGCAGCTCCCATTGGCTGGGAACGGGGAACCGTGGCCAATGGGAGCTTCGGGGGAGGTAGCTGGAGGCGTGGCAAGGGCAGCGCACGCGGAGCCCTCGCCCCCCCCCCCCCCCCCGGCCGCAGTGCTTCCTGGAGCGGCATGGGGCCGGGGACAGGGCAGGCATGCAGGGAGCCTGCCCTGGCCCTGGTGCGCACCGCTGCCACCCCGGAGCCCAAACCCCTCCTGCACCCCGCCCCCAACTCCCTGCCCTAAGCCCCCTCCTGCACCCCAGCCCCCTGCCCTGAGCCCCCTCCCACAGTCCGCACCCCTCCTGCACCCCAACCCCATGCCCTGAGCCCCTTCCTGCACACCGCACCCCCTCCCACACCCCAACCCCCTGCCCTGCATACAATTTCCCCACCCAGATGTGGCACTTGGCCCAAAAAGTTTGCCCACCCCTGGACTAGATGATCTAGTGGCCCTTTGTGCCTGAACATTTATCAATCTGTGATCCCTGCTCAGTCTCCCCAAGAAGTCAAATGAAGATGCTGAAGTCACTTAGGCCAACTCCACCCAAGCACAGAATTCCACTGGCACACAGCTCATTGCAGACCTTGGTACTGAAACTCTGTATTCCCTGAATATAGTATAAAAGAGAAGTGCATTAAAACAAATGACTAGTGTCAGTACATGAACACTCAAAAGCTACTAGCTTCGTGTTAATTAAATTGTGGTCCTAGACAACCAAGTCAAAATGAATACCTTGAATGCTGATTACAGTAGAAGGAATTGGATGTTCTCTAGCATGGACCTTCCTGAAGACAGGTTTGCCTAACAAAGTGATGGGCAGAAGATGAGTGGATGGATCACAGTGACTCGGTGATGTTAGTGAACTCTATTTCTATTTCACACAAGGTTATTGTTTTTAAATCCCCATTGCACTCTTGTCTGCTCTCCTGCACTGATGGGAAAAAGTAGAGCCAGAGAGAAGTGATCCAAGAGTTTACCCTCATAGCCATGGTGGCAAGCTATGGACATCTATTTCCAGCACAGTTGGCCAAGTTCAATCTCAGTTACACTGGAAAAATGTTGAAAATTGAATGTGGTGTTCTTTAATTTTTTTTTAACTGTCCCAATTTGGGGCTGGCTCCTCAGAGTCTGATTCTGCGTGTGCTTTTCAGACAAGCGATCAGGGAGATCAGAGGGACATGAAGTACCTTGTTAGCTAAAAATAGTTTCCCATTGTCTGAGCTTGGCCCTCTGAACCCCTCCTCATGCAGAGTCACCGTCATTATTGCGCTCTGCTAGTACTAAGGGGGAGACTGATGGCTCCTCTTCTCTAATGCAGAGCTAACACCCGAGCAACACTTGCAAGGTGTACATTAACCAAGGAGGCATGTGTGTCTGCTCCCCTGTTGGACAAGTGCAGAGATTTGGTACCACATGCATGGCTCACATACAACCCTGTGAATACACCGGCATGCTTGTCTAATTATTTGTTGCTATTCTTACGCCTATTGAGCCCAATTCTCCACTGCCCCTTGAAGCCTCGCTGGCAGCACAAATGGTCTGTGAAGGCAGCAAATCTCCATGCTGGGGAATACCCCAGCATAGGGTCTTCCCTGGAGGGCACAGAGCTGCCATAACTGGTCTTTTCTCCCAGCCCCTAGCACAGACAGTTGCTGGGGAAGAGAACATGGCTGAAGTGCCAGGGTACTCCAGCTACTCTCAGACGATACCGTGGCTCTATGGTGTTGTTGCCGCCAAGGGTAAATTAGAGCAGATGTGGGGCTGTTGTAATTTAAGCTGAGGTCTGGACAGGCCATTGGACAGCCCAGAACATAGGGAGGTGCAAAGGTGGCATGAAGTCCCTAGTCCTATGCCAGGCGCTGGCAGGATGGAGAAGGAGTATCTTTAGTGCAGTGATGGTTCCCTAGTTCATGTAATTCGGTTTGCAGGAACACATCTGAACATGCTTTCATATATGGCTGGCATTTCTGATGAGCTAACAATCACACATTGAGTCTGTACAACCAAGAGCACATAGCCTGCTGCTCCCGAGCTGTACCACAGCAGCCGGACTCTGCCGTTTAAACCCCAGCAATGATCCATGAGGAACCATTCCTGCCTCGCCCACTCCCTGAGGAGGGTGCCAGGATCCAGAACACCAAATGGGGAGGACTGATTTCTCAGGCGTCCTTGCGGAGCGGCATTTTAAACAGCGAAGCGTTTCTTGGCAGCATGCAGCCAAGTGGCTTTATTTCACAATCAGCTGTATCTGCAGCACTGATTGCCGACAGACTGACATTGGAATTACAGAAGATGATTGATTCTCTGTTTCTCACTGATCTCCATCTGATAAAAGGGAAGCAGACCCCCCACCCCCAACTGTTCTTACTGACAGAGAAATGTAGTTACATATCACCCTGTACCTGGGGACAGGGATCAAATCACCGTCTGTGGAGTTTGGCCATACCTCTCCGGCAGGCAATGGTGTACTGGTGTCTTGTGCAGCGCCATGCACACTGCCTGCATTTGGGAATAACAATGCTGGCTCCAGCTACCCCCTCCTGTAGGGAAAACCCATGGGACGGGGAGGCCTAGCTACTCCCTGATCTGTAAGGGACATATGGGATTTGCAGGGCTGATTCTCAAACTATGTGGGAGCTCTCCAGGATTCACACGGACCCCAGGGATCAGCGAGAGGCCAGAGAAACCCGAGTGGAAGACCCATGCCTCCCTACTGCCTCTGCGTTCCCCCCTTCCCTGGCAGCATGACGGTGCCGCAAGAACTGCAGCCCATGGCGTCCCAGGAGGGATCCCCACCATGGGGCAGGGCTGCGGACACACGGCATGGGGGCCAGTCCTGGCACAGAAGTGGCTGACATCCCCTTCAGGAGAAGGTACCAGCAGGCCCCACATTTTGGTCCATGCCTTAGGCTTGCCTCTCCCCTACCCCTGATGGCTGTGAAGAGCATGGGTCAGACTGCACACGGATTGAGGAAAGCCATTTAGGAGACTGGGGGTTGTCGACACTGGAGCTGCAAAGATAACTCCCAGCGTAGTCTCCACACGGGCTAGCTCTGATCGAGCTACCGTGCTAAAAATAGCAGCGTAGCCCTGGAGGGCACATGTGCTACAGTCTCCCCAGGCACAAGCCTCTCTGAAAGAGCTAGGTGCATCCTTGGACAGCTACCCCCTCCCGCCGCCACAGCTACACGGCTAGTCAGCGCGCAGGTCTCCCTGAGCGGGAAACCTCCCTTTCCAGCTCCAGAGCAGACAGGCCCTGGGAGAAAATCCCCTGCGGCAGGCTCTGGGTATGGCAGCCCGAAGCTGGCCTCCACAGGTCACTGCAGGAGCATGCCGGCCTGGCGCAGAGTGCCGGAGTTCCCAGGGGCTGTGTGGCTAAGCACCCCAAGGACAGCTGTCCTAATCAGTGCAGCCTCTCAGGCTGCCCAGGCTGGGGTCCATTTCACCCCATTTGCCCTCCCTCCCCCAGGGCTGTGAGTTCCGCGCTGAGGCAGATTCTCCCTGGTACGTGCTGTAATCACTACAGCTAAAGAACGGGGATTACTGTGAAACACACGTGAGGTTAAGCTGGTGACAAGGACACATCACTCGCTGTTAGACGGTGCCGTGCTAACACTAGTGGCTCGGAGTAGGTGGCAAGGAAACTGAACAGCGCTTTCTTACCATTCAGAAGTTTCCCTCCATTAAAAAAACAAACAGGAAATAAAGAGAAAAGAGCAGAATGAGCATCCGGCAGTTAACAACACAGAGAGAAACAGTGGCACGGGGCAAGGAGGGAATCAGAAATCCATACCTGTTATTGTGAAGCCACCTAAACGAACCACAAAACAAAAAAAGAGAGAGAGAAAGAGAAAGCAGATTAGCATCTATTTTTGCATCATCACAGTGACATTCATCTCGCAGCAGCCTCCCCCCAGAGCAGTGGCCCACACGCTCCCGCCACGGTGTGAGCTGCAGAGGAACAGCTCACTACAACACCTGTCTTCCATTTCTAGAAGAGATTGTCCCCTGCCTCGGGTCTGCATGGAGTGCCATGGTCTCCCCCAACCCATTCTGCTGGGCCTTGTGTAGTGCGCTCCACTCTGAATGAGGGGCTCTGAATGGGTGGGTGGGGGAGACTGGGCTGCAGGAGGCCAGGAGACAGCAGGACTATGGGGCAGATGCATGCCAGCCTCCCTCCCACCCCACATGGCTTAAGATAGCACCTCCTGGAACAATCTCTTTTCCACCCCAGCCACCCCAGAATCATGGGGACAGCTGCAGCCAGCTGCTCCCCCACCATCACTCGGGGGAAGGGGGTTTGCCCCCGGCTCAGTAGGCCCAGGGACCAGCCTCTGCCCTGCCCCCTGGCACTGTGGATCCCATGGAATCTGAAGGAGGCCAGCGCTAATCCTACAGAGGCCCTTTGCCTCCTCAGTAGCTGCTCAGTCCCCTCGAAATCCCCACTGTTCATAGCAGCCAAATTAGTCCTGGGGGGCTCCATTGAAGAGACAGGACAGCTCCAGATACATCTTCACAGGGTCAAGGGGTGGTTGGGAATGTGGTTTTCCCTGGCCCCTCCCTTGTACTACCCAGTCTTCCCCCATGTGCAGCAAGATCCTGGACTAGTGGAGAGCCTTCCGTAGGGTGCAGACCGGAGGCAGGGCTGGTGCTGTGGAGATGGCTAGCTCTCCTATCCACCTCTGGAGGACCCCCTTGGGGTGTGGTTCGGGGCTGGGGCGGGACACGCCTCCTAGGTCCCCTATGGCAGGTTCTACCCCAGCAGCGGCCAATCTAATTCCAGTTTGGGAAGTGCAGAGAACTTTTAAGATTCACTACAAAGCTGAGCTGTGCAAATCTCTTCCTTCCCTGCCAACCAGACATGAGAGAGAGGGCATTTCTAGGAGGCGACAGTGGCTAGAATCACACAGTGGAAAAGATCAAAAACCCTACAGCTACTATCCCTCCTCTCAACCCAGCCTGGCCCGAGCGCAGGGCTCAGTGTGGGAGACAGAGCAGAGGGAGGGATGCACAGAACTCAAAATGATGCAGGATCCTCTCATTAAGAGCAAGTTACTCTTCCTAGGGCCTCACCCCATGAGTCTTTATTTCTGGTGTGAGAACATTTTCAGCAATAAAAGCAGCAGTGGGGTGGGCATGAGAGGACATGATGCACCAAATCCATGCTGCAGCTGGGTAGCTTTAGGACTAAATGGAGGGCTATTCAAGAGGGATGGATACAATGCTGGGGAAGAGGAAAGCCCCTTCCACCGCTATTTCCACCAAGCCCCTGAGTGCTCAGACATCCCTAGAAACATTCCTCATTTACCTAGAGCCGGGGCGAAGTTCTGCTCATACCGAGTTACTACTGCCCAGAGCAGCATTTTCTACAATGGTCCAGTGCTCACTGGAAATGAGTGAGAGTCTTTCCATTGATTCCAATGAGCCTTAGATAAGGCCCAGGCTTTGATTTTCCAAGGTAGCCTGCAGAATGCTTTAGCTTTGCTGGGACTCCCCCCCCTCCCCCCACACTCATCTTGTATGTTTGTGTATCCTGCTTGGGATAGCTTGTATGCCAAATTTGGAGGCTGGTTTTGAAGTGTGCTCTAAGAAGGCAGCATGCCATACCTCCCTCAAAACAGCATGCAGAGTTTTCTGAATATATGTAGTTAGGGTATGTCTACACTGGGAAGTTATAAGGAAGAGAGTTTAAAATGCTATAGCTATTCTGGAATAGCTCCCCGTATGCACACACTGATTCTTGAATAAGAGTGTGCACAGGGGGAGTGATTGTGGAATAGCTCTTGTGGTCAATTTCACCACAATAAGCCCTAAGTATTCTGGCCAGAGCATTGCCAGGTACTACAAACATTCTGTTTCTTATGCCTACATAACAGGATATGAATTAGTTTGAACAGCTCAGTTCTGTTGTACATTTCTGAGACTCTTAGTGCTTTCCACATCTTTTTACTACAAATTAGCGCACAGTGTCCAGTGAAATCAACCCAAAGGATAGTAGCAAACCCAAGGAGTTAGTTGTATTGAATGTATCCACTAGTGGCCAGAGTCCGATACCATTGCTCCCATTCAGTAGCGTCTAACGCCCTAATAACCCCATTGGGATTACTTGTGGAGCTACTCACTGCACGTAAGGGTGACAGACACTGATCCTAAATGTGCTTGTTGTCTGGGATTTCCAAAGGAGCTAACTGCCCAAATCCCAGTGAAATGCTGTTCCTAACCCCCTTAGGCTCCCCTATCATTGTAATTAATGCCACTTTCAATTATGATTTTAGCCACTGTCCCTCCTTTAACACAAATGTTCATGTCTCAGCTAACAATTTTTGGAGCATATACTCAAAGAAGAACATGATCTCAATTACCTGGGCTTAGTAAAATGGTATTAACAACCTTAAAAGAGATTCTTGTGAGCAAAAAGAAAAGTCAAACAAAATCATCATTTCCACCAATATACGGACACACTGGGAAAATGGAAAAGAAATACAAGAAATGCAGTGCTTACCAAGCTCATTCAACAACAGAGCTGTGAAGGAGACAGACAGAGAGACAAACACAGAAGAAGAAAAGTAAATGAATAATGAAATTAAAAGGAACATCCACAGAAAGACTCCAGCTCCCAGGCTCAGACAATGAAAACCTGTGAAGTTTCAGGATACCATTGGTACCCAGAAAAGAACATTGAAAATAATGGAACAGAAACATTTCATGAGCGTGGGCTGTGAATTAAAAGAAAAAAAAATAATGTCACATATAGCAATATGGTATAAAAGACAAACTTTAAAAAAATTCATTTTCCCCCTTTGGGCCATGTATTCATGGAGTGTCCAATGACATCAATGGCAATACCACCACAGATAGAGGAAATAATATGTCCCAAAATATGGATGTAAGGGCTGTTTGCTGGATTCTTTTACTTCCTCTAATAGTCTAAATGGAAAATAATAATTACATAATGGCCTGATTTCTACAGGGAACGTAGAATGAAAGAAGTACAGTTTGTGCTAGGGCTTGACTCACAAAATATAATACAGTATTTATCCTGTCATTTAGCAAAATGACAGTTTAAGCCCTGATAAAAGATAACTATCATTTAGCATTCAGGTAGCACTCTGGATCTTTGAAGAACTGAACACTCTAACTAATTACTTCTAGCAATACTCTGGAAAGGTAGTAAGATCAGGAAGTATTAACCCTTTTCAAAGGGAGGGAAACTGAAGCAGAGAGGATCAGGCCAATATTTTCAAAAGCAGCTGCTGATTTTAGGTATTTTAATTTTTAGCACATCCTAGGCCTGATTTCAGAAGCTGAGCTCACAGTATTACCAGCCCCAAGAGTTCAAAAATCATAAGTCAGTCCTCAAAAACTGGTTTAAAAATCATGAGATTTTAAAAAGACTGATACATTTTTGGCTCTTTTTATTTACCTTCTGACTACTAAGACTTTATGGAGCCTTGGCTTCACATTTTCAAGCTTTCCCCTGCAACCATGAGAGCTAGAAACTTACTTTTTATAAACCAAAAGCTGAGAGTCTCATGTCATCTCAGGACTCCAGCAGCGAGAGCTTTAAAAACCCTCCAAATAATCCAAGATTCATGATAAAACCATGAGAGTGGACAACACTGCGCCCATGCAGCGCCGAATGAAATCAATGGATAGCTTTTAGTGTCAATGGTTAATTTTATTTTGGTGGTACAAAAACAATAGTAGGTGTCCCTAGCACTGCTAGTGATGCAAATCCCACTCACTGGGATTCTATTGCATTGCGCTAGTGTGTCAGATTTAATGGAATTTTCCGTGAGCTAATAATCACATAGGGCATCCATCTGTCAAGGAATGCAGGGGAGGGGGAAAAAGGTCCGTGTGCAATGTTCTCTCTTGGGATAAATGCAGCCCCTCTGAGGAATCCATCTAGTTCTAGGTAATGGCAGCTTCTCTCCTCTCAGCGTGCTCTCAGGCCAGAGAGGGAGCAGGGAGCCCAGTGCTCCCATGCAGGAGGCAGCCAGAAGGATGCAGCTATTGCTTGCCCAGTATCTTGGAAGGTGTGTGTGTCTGTGTCTGTGTGTGCTCTCATGCCCAGCAGCACCAAATGTTATCAGACCTTGTCTCTGGGTGGAGTTGGGGTGTGGCCATAGTTCACCTTCCCCTGGGAACCCCGAGCATGTGGGGAGGCTGGAGGAATAGCAAGCTGCACCTTATCTAAAGGATGCTGGTGAGCAACGGCTGGGCTCTCCCCAGTACTCCACAAGCACCATGGGGCAATTCACTGGTCCCTCTATGCGCAACTGGCATAAATTGGCTGGGGAATACTGCTTGGCAGATGCAGAGCTGGCAGACTCCCTCCTCTTAGGTGTGCTGTAGCGCTTGAGGCCTGGCTGAATCACTCCTGAGCTCCGGCTAGTGTATGGTGGATTCAGCTCCAAGCACCCTGGCTCTGGCTGCCTTCTTATGCATGGCAGTGCCAATGCAACTAACCAACTAGGAAATGTTGCAAGACAGCATCAACCTAGTATGGGGCAGAGGTGTCTGGCTGGTCCCTGTGCTCTAAGACTGCCTGATGAATGCACCCACTGAGCACAAAATTGCACCCGTCCCTTTCCCCCTAGTTCTCCTATGAATGCACTCTGAGAAAAATGCGCCTTTGAACAGGATTAGAAATGTACCCAGCTGTTAGAAAGGCCTGGATTTAGAGCCACTGAACAACTCACTGTGTGAACAAAAGTTAGTTTTTCCAAAGGCAGAATTGTTTGAGCCTGATAAAATCATGCATTTACTTGAGTAAAGATGAATCGGACTGAACTGAATTTCTTGTCTGTGTAATTTATTAAACTAATCCAGATTATTCTCCTCTTTCTTTTATATTAACTAGCTTAATTATTTTTTTAAAATCAGACAGCTACCAGTGAACAGACATTTCCTATTCATTTGTTTTTCTGTAATAAGGGGTATTTTTTTTTTTTGCCTACTGGGGGAAAAGGAACTAAAATAAATAGTATTGTGTTTCAGTCTAAATGCACCAACATTTGATATACATGAAGTCATCTTAGACCTCGATCCAACAAAGCACTTAAGCATACATGACACTAAGCATGTGAGTAGCCCCCTTGACTTAATCGGGACTACTCACATGTGACCCACACGGCGCTGACCCACACTTGTGCTGAAGCCCATCTCTATCCAGGACGAAGTGGGCATTCACCCACGAGAGCTTATGCTCCAATACATCTGTTAGTCTTAAAGGTGCCACAGGACTCTCTGTTGCTTTTTACAGATCCAGACTAACACGGCTACCCCTCTGATATCTATCCAGAACAGCACTTAAGGACACACTTAACTTTAAGCACATGCTTAAGCGCTGTCTTGAACAGGGACATGCTTTCCTGAATCAGGGCCATGCTTACATGCTTTGCTGGATCAGGGGTAGTCAGCAAATGAGCGGATTTAGTCTATAAGAAGGGAAGCCTATTTATTTCTTTGGGGTGAAATGCCACAAGGTGTGGGGAGCCCAAGCAATGCCCTCTGCTCCACTGCTGTCCTGCACAGTGGTTGGGAGTGGGGCACAGGGTGGATGTGCTGGATGTAAGGACCCAGCATGCCCCGTGCGATGTAGAGGCGACTTCATGGTGGGACCTAACAGGCTAGCATGGAAGGGTCACTAATGAGTGCCAAGGCTGGATGGGGTGGGGGAAGGGCTATGAGATCTACATTTATGTTATCCCTAGTCTCCAACTCCCCACATAGAGGGCACAGGGGAGCTAACACCACTATTCCAGCTGCCTCCTGTAAATTCCTATGGAGCTTCCACAAACACCAGTTTGCTAAGGCCCCCATTCAGCAAAGCAGATAACAATGTACCTAAGTCTTAGATTCAGAGATCTGAAGGTTGGAAGGGATCATTATAATCATCTAGTCTGACCTCCTGTACAGCATGGGTGAGAGAACCTCGCCCAATGCTTTCTGCCTTCTCTTTGAGCTATAAAATCTCTTCTGGAAAGACACCCAGCCTTGATTTAAAGACGCCAAGTGACTCCATCCACCACATCCTCAGATAAATTGTTCCAAGAGTTAAGTACCCTCACTGTTAAAAATGTGCATTTTATTTCTAGTCTCATTTTGTCTAGCTTCAGCTTCAAGCCATGGGAGCTTGCTATGCGTTTTTCTGCTAGATTAAAGAATCATCTATTATGAGAAATCTCTTCTCCCTATAGGTACTTGCAGACCATGATCAAGTCACCTCTTACCCGATCTGGGATAAACTAATCCTGGGACTCAAAAGTTAAACATGTGCTTGAGTGCTTTGCTAAATCAGGGCCTAAACGTATGATAATAATAATAATATTATAATACAATCTGATGATTCCTAAGGAGCAGATATTACCTAGAAATTAAACAGGAAGTCAAAGAGACAAAATGTTGCTAACAATGTTTGGGTTGTTAAAAAAAATGTCTGTTATGTTGCGACTAATTATTCAGGATAATTATGTTAGTGCTGTAATGTCCTAATTAGCCATCAATAATTCATGAAATGAGTTACGTCCATTCATTTTAAGTTATCTTTTTAAGAAAAGAAATTGCTTAGAAAAATTAGCAGCCCTTTTCTTTTTATGAATATGTTTGCAGTTGCTTTAGAGAAATGTTTTTATTTTGTGTGATGGAAACTGATTTCATCCTCCTTATGAGGATTCGGTGGGATGTCCATGTCACTGCACTGTCAGTGCATTTTACCTATTTACTTCCAGATTCACTGGGTGAAATCCTGACCACCGACATCCTACTGGAATTACCTGATTTTGAACTACCTTCAGACATCATTGTATGCTCATTACCAGTGTAAAAAGCTAAAAATGTTGCATTAAGAATGTGATTTTTATTTAAACAGAGGGTCTACTTTATCTCCTGCTAAAAATGATGCAATTGCCTTTTTTAATTAAAAAAGAGACTGTTTTCTCCTAGATTAAAAGAATATTTGTATATGAGATTTCAGTGCTGTATATTTTGAATACACAACTGAAATGTCTTTGTTTCTGATACTGTTGCAATAGCAATTGACAGTTTAGGATTCACACTCTGTCTTCCCACATTGCATGTGCTGGAATCTCAGACCCACTCTAGTGTTTGTGATCACTTTGTGGGGGCTAGATGCTGCCATAAACTCTTGGCTGACAGCACCTCTGCAGTGTGTGTGTGAGCTTGTCCCTCTCTAGCTAGCATGGACAGGATATGAACCCCTAGTGATTTATTCACGGGATTGTTTTCATTTACTGCCTCACAAGTGGGAGCAGTTCACAGATGAACACTTGACAAAAAAAGTCAGTTTGTATTTAGTCCCAACCCTGCTTCAGTGGGAGCTAGTCAGTGGGACCAGAGTTACACCCGCCAAACAATAAACAAGGTAAAGTTGCTAAGCTTGAGAGGAGATATGGCAAAATATTTGGAAGCCAAGTGCGAGGAGAGAGCAAGTGTGAGAGTAGGGAGACAGAGAGAGAGCAGACTACAATTTCTCGAGAGTTTGTCTGGGTTTACTCTCACACCTTTCATTCCTCTTCGTAGCCATATTGGTTCCTCAAGCACAAGGTAGAAACTGCACTCTTTCTCATACTCCTCACGGTCAAGTATTTTAAGGGTAATGAATTTCCTGTGGGAACACAAGACAAAGGCAAAACAAATGGTTGGCGTCACACACTCATGCTTTAAGTTCAACCAGGCGAGATGGTTACCGAGATGATACGAAGGGAGGAGCACATCTGCCTCAGTTACTTATGTAAAAGAGCAGAAAGTCCATCACTGCACCTAGGCTGTTTCATTCTGAAAAAGGAGCCACTCCACAAATTTAACTCTGAAATGAAGTAGATAGGTTTACATTGTGGGGAGCTATTGTTCATGCACCACATAAGCGTTACACGGAAAAGGAAATCCAAACACCAGAGGGTTTGGTTGCTTTGCTTGCAGCCAATCTGCATCTGGATTCTATTTGTAGTTCTGTGCCAAGTATCTGAGCCGTAAAAGGAGGTGGACTGGTTTTGCTTTTAAGTAACAGCAGCACCCCAGCAACTTATGAAGGGCCAGATCCTTGACTGGTGTCAGCCGTCATTGCTCCATTGAAATAAATGGAGCTACGCTGATCTACGCCAGCTGATAATCAGGCCCATAATGTCTGAATTTAAGAATGGAAAACCGAAATTGGAGTCCAAAGTGCAAACAAAGGTTCTCAGCTCCAGGCCCTAGTGACTTGACTCCTGCTCTTTGACATAGATAGAGGAAGGCATGTTTTAGATTGCATGTATTGGAAAGTGCCAGGCATCCATGAGTGATCAGGACATGTGCACGCAGGCTGGGCTCAGCCTCAGAGCAGATCTCCCACCTTTCTTCTCACTCATCTCCACCAGACGGGGCTCCCCAATCTCAAGGTAGAAGGTCTTGTTTTTCTCATACTCCTCATCATCAATTATTTTGACTGATATCGTTTTGCTGAAACAGAGAAGAATAGATATTCAAGAGTAAGGGGGGAAAGGGAGAGTAAAGAAAAGGAGAAACAAGAGGGAGGACAGAAACGTCAAAAGGAGGTTAGTTTGGGCAAAGACTCATCAAGTAATTATCTCAGGGGGCAGCCACACAGCATCCCACAGCATTCTACAATAAAGGCTCAGATATAACACTGAAATGCACCCTGGGAACTGTGGGGCTAAAGTCACATCTGGGATAAGTAGGGGCAAACTCCATGGGCTAGTATGGAATTAACTCCACTGGCCCTATGGCTGCATTTGGCCTGTGTTCTTCACATGCTGCATCTCTGGATCTTCATGATATGTGAAATATACGTGGTCGTTGCCACAGTAACCCTCCCTGGGGAATGGAGGAGATTGCCCCTGAGCCACGTCCCCAAGGAGGAGGAGAGGTGAAGCACATGGAATCCTGCACAAGGATGCCAGGGTCTCTCTCTCACTGATTAACAGGGTCTTGAGTTAATCCGTCCCAATCAAAGCCGAGGAAAGTGGAGAATGAGCAGCAGGCTCATCAGAGTGTGAGACAGAAAAGCAGAAGCCCTGAGAAGATGGAAGGGACCTTTCATCTGAAAGCCCTGCTCTGGGCTCTATATAGAATGTGTGTGCGTGTATGCACACACGTTCACACATGCACTACTAACGTTTCAGCCACCTCAAGGGTGTCTACATTGACATGGAATTGAAACACGCCTGGTAGGACAGCAGCCCTGAGGTCCCATCCTTTCTGCCTTCCATGGGCCCTAAATCCAATGGGGAGCGCTGGCTGGGGCTGCTTGGCCTTTATTCTGATGGGCCAGCTTGGACATGTGCTCGCTCACATCTGGAATTCATACAGGACAGAGGTATCTCCACAGAGAGTGACCAGTCTATGGCCCTTTAAAAACCAGCACAGTTCCCAGCCTCACATTCCCCGAGAGCCTGCCCCATTAGTCCACCCACCCTGTTGTGGGCCTTGCCAGTGTCACCGGGCGATCTGGTGGGCACTTTGGTCTCTGGCTCTTGCTGGATCATTGTGATCATCACTGTGCACAAGCGTGGGTTGAGGCCTGAAATCTTCACTCAGTAGAAATGGCTGCCATAGACCATGGGAGCTTTGCTTAAATACACACGGAATAAAAACTGAGGGCCCCACGCTGCTCCCTCCAGGGCCCCATTCTCCTCACTCCAGGCCCTGCAGAAGGAGAGGCGTTCCATCTCTGCAGTCTGCCCCCTGATCCTCTCAAACCTGCGGGCTCCATGGAGTCCCACTCTCCAGAGCTGGGAGGGATGGCTGAGGAGAGTGACGCTGTTTGGGCCCCAGCCTGTGGGGAACATGTGAGGCTTGCATTAGTTTGCACTTTGTACCCCTCTCTCTGTGTGGGGTACATCCCTTTAGGGAATAGTCTGTGATAGCCCCTGGACGTGTAGCTCTATAGCGATCAGGAAGAACCAAAACCTCTCCTCAACTGCAGATCCCAGCAGCTCTGAAGGGATCTGAGTTCAAGGAGGTGATACTCAGGTTTATCCTCCGGGAGCAAACCATGCTCTCCCAACAGAAAAGCTTGGAAGCAAGGTCCCCACCAGCTGAGGCTCGCAGAATTCTCTTTTGTAGGTAGGGGAGAGAATAGGCCCTGAATAAGGATGTTGGGATTTGGCCCAACATGCATGACCATCGTGGCCCTTGAGGCCAGACTCAGAACTGCCAGGATGCCACAGGCCAAGCTCCCCTTTGACATGTGAGCCCCGAATCTTCTGACCCCATCCCCTCCCCTCAAATCCCACTCTTGGGAAAGGCTTGCTACCCCCTGACTCTCACAGTGAAAAGCCATTACCGAGAGAGACAACTGCAGCCAACCACGCTTCACAGGAGCGATGATCTGGTGAAATAACCTTTCTAAAGGGCTAAAACCATTGTCGGCAGCCAAGGATCTCTTCCGGAGACGTGGGACATTTACCTGTAAAACAGTCACTTAACCTACTTCCATCCTTTGCCTCTGTCGTTATGTACTTAATGCTTTGTGACAAGCCTGCATTAGCTTGGGCTCTTACAGCCTCCGCTCATGGTTCTGCCACTGCTCTCCCATTATTTTTAAGTGGTGCATTTTGCTGTGGTTTCCATATTAGGTTGGCGTGTAATGCTCAGAGAGCTTGGGGCAGCCTAGGTCCCTTAGTAACGATGGGACTCTGTGGCCTCACTACAAAAAGCCACAGGCTCCGGCTGACATTTGAAACTCAAAACAAACAAATAAATCACTCACCCCCTTGAAGCTAACAGAGAATGTTTAAGCTAACCAGCCATACGAATGAAAACAGCAGCTTCTCACAGACACATGCATATGACAATGGTCAGCCATTCAAGTCTGATTTTAAAGATGTTTCTCTTGAAGCTAGTGGTTTATAGGTTTCCATATGATGCTAGATATGACCTTTCACACTCTGGGAATTCAAAGGAGATAGATTCTTTCTGAAGGCTAAGGCAGGAGGAAGTGGAGAAAGCATCAATGGTGGTAGGCTATTTTTTTTAAAGCAATACATTTGTTTTTCAAACCAAAATTATTTTGATTATATTTTTCTCAAGGGCCTTAATGTGGAAATTGACCTATACGTCCACATTCGTATCCAGCCTAGCCACTTAAGACTATTTGTCTGTTATTACTGAATTTACTGTTCTAGCAATAACATGAGTATGAAGGCTTAGAACAGGGGTAGGCAACCTATGGCATGCGTGCCGAAGGCGGGACGCAAGCTGATTTTCAGTGGCACTCACACTGCCTGGGTCCTGGCCACCGCTCCAGGGGCTCTGCATTTTAATTTAATTTTAAATGAAGTTTCTTAAACATTTTTAAAAACCTTATTTACTTTACATACAACAATAGTTTAGTTATATATTATAGTCTTATAGAAAGAGATCTTCTAAAAACGTTAAAATGTATTACTGGCACGCGAAACCTTAAATTAGAGTGAATAAATGAAGACTAGGCACGCTTCTGAAAGGTTGCGACCCCTGGCTTAGAACATGCCTAGAGCACAGCTAGAGAACCAATAAATTAACATCAAAACCTGGCACCTTCTTACTGGAGGCCTGGCCACTTCCCAGAGTTTTGTTTTCTAATGCACCTAATACAGTGCAAAGTAGGTGACAGAGTAAGTTCACATGAAAAAACAATGGAGATGGAAAAGATTCATTAACACTGTCCTCGCAGAAGTCCCCCAATGATGCTGTTACACACAGGCCTTTTTATGAGTGTGGGGGCCTGCAGCAAATCTGAAGAAATGTTCTGCGGTTAGTTTCGTGCAGGGCTGGATTTACACCTTATGCGCCCCTAGGCAAAGCATCTTCAGCGCCCTCCCCCCCCGCCTACAGCTGACCTTCATGTTTTCCATAAAAAATGAAACTTTTAACCCACTTTTAGGAGCCCCAAGAACACTGGTGCCCCATGGCACGTGCCTACTGTGCCTAACTGGAAATCTGGCACTGGTTTTGTGATGTCATTTCTTGGGGGGGAGCTATGGCAAGCAGTGAAGGAGTCTGCTTTCTGTCTGAGTGTTTGTCTACACTACGAAGAGAGACCTGCAGCAGTGCGCATCAGAGCCCACATCAACTGAATTGGGCTCACAGGGCTTGCGTTGCAGGGCTAAAAATAGCAGTGTAGACCTTCGGGTGCAGGTTGGAGCCCGGGCTCTGAAATTCTGAGAGAGGGTTGAATCTCAGAGCCCAGGCTCCATCCTGAGCCGGAATGTGGGTCAGAACAAAATGTGTAAATAAGTAACAAAATAATTGTGTCATCACAGAGGTTCCTTATTTATTGCCTGCATCCAGCCCCCTTAGTCCATTCCTAGTCCACTCCAGCTTCTTTCAAACTTTGTTGGCTAAACCAACTTTCCAGCTGCTTTTTTTGTGTCGCCTCTCGCTAAGCTTGTCTTCTCTTTGAAAGAAATCTCCTTTCTCATTCTTCATCTCTTATGTACTCTCCATAGGCAGCCTGGTGCAGGTTAGAGCAGCCCTGAGGCTGCTCTAATGTATGCTAAGGGATCAATTGCTCCCCCACAACAGGTCCCAGGATTGAGGCACACAAAGGCAGCATAAAGCCACCCCTCAGGTCCAGTGGAACTTGGCTGGACCTGGGAATTGGGACCAAATCAGAGATCAGTT